CTGTATATTAGTTGATATTGTAAATGGTTTATCACCAATATTTTAATTAATTGCGTGTATTTGTGGCGATCCATAGGAGTATAAGAAGTTCAATGGTGGTGAGCCGGGTCACCGAGACATCGAGACACTGACCGAGGAGGAGCTATTCGCGACACTCGACTCCAGTGGTTACGTACGGCTCAGCTTCCGGACTAAACCGCTGACCGACTCGAGTAATAAGCGGTCGATCGCCGTCAGCACCGATAGCGACGTGCCGTTTGTCAAGAATTGTGTCAATAGTTATAATAATAGTAATAATTTGAATAATAATAACAAAAAGAAAAATATTTATAATAATTATTGCGAGACATTAAAGTTGGACAGAAGGGGCGAAAAGGAGAACCCATTTGCAGGTATGTTATGATTTTTATGGGTTTTAATTGGGCTTGCTTATTTATGTAGAGCTTGTTGTGTACGAGACATTAAAGGTTAAGTTATGTGGATTAGTTTTATCTATTGTATAGGTATTGATTTGAATAATGAACAGGTGCATTTATCAATAATATTATGTGTTTGAGGTTAATAAATAAGATTAAATATTATAGTTTTTATGTAAACTGTAATGCTATTAAAAAGTTTTGTCTACATTATTCTAATAATAATTAAAACTTCTAAAAGGTTTGGGCAAGCCTACAGATAATTTGTTAGTGATAATATTTTTAAAATTTATAAATTAAATTTTTAAAAATAATTTTATGGATTTAGTATTATAGATTAAATGATTTTTATGTATACTGTAAAACATTTGAACTTCAAAACTTTAAAGCATATAAATATCTTGACATTGTTCATAAAGGATTTGCCATCACGTGTGGTTTATTTATTTAACAATATTATTATAAATATTATGTATTTCATTTCATTATTATAATTTAAAACTGTAAAATAATTTTTAGATAATATAATAATAATCCATAAAACATATAAATTTATTTTGGGATGTAACCTACAAATTTACTAACAATAAGTACCAATAGTATAAACTAAAATAATTTTATTATTTTACATCGTTTTCATAATTAATTATTTTTTACTGCAAAGTTAGATTTATGAATAATTTATAAATTAATTTGTTTTTTAATATAATTTCATTTTCCCATAAAATATAATGAAATGTGAAATTCTATATGAAATGCACATAAAACTCATAATAATCTCAAAAAAGCTTATAAACAATAGATAATGAAATGAAAAGTTCGTTGACTTTGACTACTGTTTGAGTCTATAAAGTCTAATCGTTAATGTGTCTGGGAAAATATATTAGCCTTGTCATTTAATTAACTTATGTGGGACATAATTATATTTTGCAAATTACTTATAATGATTTTTTCATTCATTTTAAAATTTTGTTTTACAATTTATATTCAATTAGACAATTTACGCACTTTACAAATATGACCTTGGTTTCGCTTGAATAACAAACTCTAGGAAATTCCCTTGCATATTTTAAAACTAATAAATAACTAGCAAATAAAAAATCTGCATACCTCAATAATTTATTAAATAATATATTTTACCAACCTATTAATAAAATAAAATTACATACATACAATACCTACTTTTATAACCGTTGCCAATATCGAGAGTTGACTGTAGCGTATAAATTAATTTCAATAAAAATCACATAAAAATTAGATATAAAAACAATCTGTTATACAAAAAATACTTGAAATACTTTTCGCTATAATTAATATCTCTATAAAAATATTTATACAAAAATTAATCTAAAAACATGTCGTATCACCCAATAATCCAGGTCTGTGTCGGGGCTCAGTAAACGGTGGCCACACCTCAACAGTGAAGCGCCGGGAGGGCACACTAGACGGCAAAAAGTCGCTGAGACGACAGCGTAACTTCAATTGTGATAATAATATATATTCAACGCTAAAACGCACCAAAAATAAGCAAAAGTCCAAAAGTATGGACA